GGTGCCCTGTGTTTCTTGGGTTCCGATGGCGTTGCGATGGAAGGCGCGACGCTCCCACACCAACAATCAATGGACGTCCTGGGGTCTCAGGGTTGGGTTTCTCGTGGGAGGTTTCTTCTGGTCGAGCTTTACCCCAGCCGGAGGCGCCGCCCGGGGGGCCCAGCGCAGATCCAAGAAGTCCGCGCGGAGCGCCAAAAAGTATATATTATATGCTTATGGCGTTGTTTTTTCTGCTCCTCCCGCAACGAGCGCACGACCTCCCGTCGCGATGTTGCTGCCACCGCGCGCGGCGGTCTGGGGCCGCATAAGAGGTCCGACTGGCCGAGCGCCTCGCCCCCGCCGTCGCTCGGCCCGATGGCCGGCCTCGAGCGCGTGGGCGCCGTGCTGCCTCCCGGCGACCCCGCGCTGCAGGCCCCGGCAGCGGCGAAGCGTCCCGGGCTGGCCTGCAGGCCCACCAGAGAATGTTCTGAGGACCTTCCCAGACATGATCGCGTCGTACAGAAATCGAGACAGGAGGTTTTGGGCTATTTTCGGCATCGGGGGGCCCTCGTTGGGCCTCGGGACCGGCAAAGAACGACTCAGGATGAGAAACAGGTCCGGTCGGCACTGCCAGGGATGCCGTCCTGCAAAAATTTCAGGACGTGGCATGTCTGCACGAGATGTTCTTTACCCGGAGATCCTGTCGTCGCAATGGTCCCGCAACGGGCGTTTTCTTTTAATTTCGGGCCCCGAACCCCTCACAGATCGATCCGGCTTGAAAAATGACGCGGAAAATGCTGTCTGGGGCTCCGTGCGTGATTTTTGCGGTATTGCATGTTTTTTTGTTTTGCAACGTCGGCTCTCAGGGACCACAGAATGTTCTGCGAACCTTCTTGTGGTTTGCACGGCATGTTCTTTCGCACACGTTTGGCTCAGACTGGTCCCTGTTTCAACACGTCGGGGTTATGTTACAATAACGTTTTCGGGGGTTCCTAGGATCCTGCGAACATGTCGTGGTAAGCTTTTCGTGGTCTGCACGAAAGGTTCTTTAGGACATTTTTGCGGCTCAGACTCAGACTGTGCTGTTTTGACGCGCCGGGTTTTCAGTTCTAGGAACGTTGTTTTTCCCCAAGCAGTGCTTGCACTGAAGGGGACCTAGCGGATGCTGAAAGATCTGGCGAAAGTTTCCCGCCGATTTGGGTATCCTGTCGGGTTCCCGGGTTCCCGGGTTCCTGGTTATTGGTTCGAGGCCGATTTCGGTGGGTTCCCGGTTGCCGGGTTCCTGGGTTCCCGGTCGATCTCCTGATATCGATCTCATATCCCATTTCCAACCATCCATTGATTGGGGTTCTTCTCTGGTGTGATTGTTTTCCTTGAGATCCGGCGGGGCAGGAAAAGGCAACATCGCAAACAATCATGCTCGGAACCCCAGAAAGCATCTTTTTTCGAGCTGGATCAATCTGTGAGGGTCCCGGGGCCCGAAATTGAGCGACAACGCCCGCAAGTACGCGAAAGAAGTGCAACGCCAGCATATCTCAGGGTTTGAACATGTCGGGGTCCTGAGAACACTCCGTGGTAGGCCTCTATCAGGAGCGGAGAAAACACACACACAGACACAATTGATCGCCGACTCCCCCGAAAAAAAAATGTGGAAGCATCTGGGAAGTGGGGGGGGAAAGACAACAAAAAACAGAGCATGTAGGAAACGATGGGGAGTCCGGTTCTCTGTGTGTGCTGACTTCTGCGTGCCCCCGGGCCCCTTCCACTCCAGGAGTGCCGAGGCGGTCGGCCCCTGCTCCACACAGGCGCTGCTGCGCCGGGCCGAGCGAGGCGGCGGCGTCGCCGCCGCCGCCGCGCCCGCGCGGGGCCGCTGGCGGGCGGCCGCCGAGGACGCCGGCGGGCTTTGAGCGACCAGGGGGGCCCATGCTAAAACGGCGCGAAGATCGTGACAAGATCGGATCGGGATGACTCGAAATCTCTGAGGATCGGCGGGTTTGGGGGATGTATTGGGCGCCGCGGCCGCTCCAGAGCGTTCCGGAACGCTCTGGGAGCGCTCCGGAACGCTCTGGAGCGATTTATCCCGATCTTAGCCCTGTTTTACCATGCAAACTGGCGTCGGCCATCGGAGGGCCCTGCGATCCTGGCGTCGCAATTTTGTCACAGCGGGGGTTTTTATAGCTCGATTTCGGGCCCCGGGGCCCTCCCAGATCGATCATCGGCTCGAAAATGACGCACGACGCAGGAAGCTGCGGTCCGGGGTTCTGGGCGTGATTTGTTGCGAGGGTGCCATTTTGCAACGTCGGATCTCAGGGGAGGAAGAGGTGCCCATGTCAGAGCGTGAATTGCCTACCCCGCTTTGGCTTCCAGGAAAAGCCAAGCCATACCACGCGCCTCCTCGTCAAGCGGCCTGACCAGTACAGGCCGTAGTTTGGCATCGCTTGGTATCCCTTGGAAGCGAGGGTGGTCAAAAGCGAGGTATAGGTTTGTTTTCCCCCTACCATGGGACCAATGCCTCTGCCCTTTCCCCGTGGGTCCGCCGATCGGGGCCTCGGAGGCCCTCGTCGGCTCCTCCTCCTCCTATTCCTCCTCCTCCTCCTCCTCCTCCTCCTCCTCCTCCTCTTCCTCCTCCTCCTCCCCTCCTCCTCCTCCTCCTCCTCCTCCTCCTCCTCCCCCTCCTCCTCCCCCTCCTCCTCCTCCTCCTCCTCCTCCTCCTCCTCCTCCTCCTCCTCCTCCTCCTCCTCCTCCTCCTCCCGCCGAGGACTTCGGGGCTCGAGAGACGGGGGGTCCATGCAAACGGGGGTCAGTCTGAAGCAGTGTCGGGCCGGGCGAAAGGGGGGGGTTGGGAAAGGGGGGGTTGCGAAATTTGCTGCATGCAGCTGGTTTCGGCCTCACAGAGGGGACCATTCCTCGATACATAGCCGCCTCCGGCGCGGGGAGGCGCCGGGAAAATCAGCTACGTGAGCTGATTCTCACCCCCCCCCTTTGCTATCCCCCCCTTTCGCCCGACCCGACAGTGGCGAAGTGTCCTGGCCCCACCAAAGAATGCTTCAGGAACCTCACGTGGTTTTCTTACAACATGTTCTTAGAACAGTTCTGGCCGAGGCGGTCTGGTTTTCACACATCGGGTGCACGTTCTAAGGACATTGCTTTTGTTCTTAGAGCATTTCAAAAATTCTGAGTTCTAAGAAGATGTCGTGGTAGGCCTCTGGAAATGCCAGGACGGTCGGTCCCTACTCAAGTGGGGTCCATGCAAACGGGGGTCAGTCAGAGCTCGGCGGCGAGCGACCCAAACCGCCTCGAGTCGGGAGAACAAAATCACGACGGGAGGTTTTTTGTGGTTTTCGGCCTCTGGGGGCCCTCGCCGGGCCTCGGGGCCGTTCAAAAAAGATTCAGGACGAACAACTGGTCGCTTGGAAGGGATTGGTACCTTTCGGGGTTGTCGTCATGAAAACATCATGATGTTGGGGGTCTGGGGAAGGGGGGAAGTGAGAAGGAGAAGGCCTTCTCAGAAAGCGGCGGGACTTCTCAGCAGCCCTCGCGCCGTTTGAGAAAAATGTGTTGCGTCTTCCGGGAAGGCTTAGAAAACTGTTCAGAAGGCCGGGGGACTTCCGAACCTTCTGAGAAGGCCCGCGCCCCTTCTCACTTCCCCCCCTCGCTCGACGCCGAAGAGCGCCGGATCTTGCAGGATTCTGCAGGGTAATGGGTCGCACAGACCTGGGCTTCAGGATCCTGGAGGAGTTTGCGGGATCCTGCAATGCCTGGCTGACCCGGGTTTGCATTGGCCCGGGCCAGTGCGTCCCCGAAGGACTGGCAGCCGCGCGCCGACCACGCCTGGCGGGGTTTCGCGGAGGATCGACTGGACGTACCATGAGAGCCTGGTGTTGCAATGTTCTCACACCGGGCGTTTTCGCTCTATTTTTTAGGGCCCCGGGACCCTCTGATCGATCCGGCTCGAAAATGGGGTCCAGAGCTCCGGCCGTGATTTTTGGCGAGGGATTGCCTTTGTTTTAAAACGTCGGACCTCAGGGTAAGAGTGGCCTTTCGCCGGAGTGGCCCTTGGTGCGGGCCCATTGGGGTCCACGGGAAGCGGCGGCAGCGGCTTGCGCGCCGGGGTCTGGCCACCCCGCGGCACCCAAGAATCGACTAGACGTAAAAGTGACCTTCCGCCGGAGTGACCTTTGGTGCGGGCACAGATGGGTCCTCAGATGGCTGAAAACGAGGCAGGAGCAACGGCTTGCGCGCCTAGGTTTGGTCCCCACGCGGCCCCCAATACGCTGCGCACCAAAGGTCACTCTTACCTGGGGTCACTCTTGCGTGTAGCCGAAAGAAGCGGCGCACCAAAGGTCACTCTTAAACCCAGGTGTCGCTCGCTTACGTTCAGCCCAGAGGAGGTCCCCAGCGGCCATGGGCAGGGCGACGAGGCTCGACTCGCGAGAGACGTCAAAATGAGCTTCGGTCGGACATGTCCTCCTACAGGCGGCTCTGCTAAGAAAAATTCAAAATGGTCCGAAAATGCCACACAAATAATGGAAGAAAGGAACATGTAGTCAAAAAATCGGCCCCAGAGTATTTTTTGACTATTTCTGAACATTCCTCCTGCAGGGGGGCATGCCCGACTTCACAAAAATAAGCATCACCTTTCGACGACCCTCGCGGATTTCTTGGATGGGGCGCTGGGCCCCCCTTGGCGGCGCCTGCGGCCCCGCCACCGGCGCGCTCCGCGCGTCTGGACGGGGGGGGGCCCAGCACAGATCCGAGGAGCCCGCACGGGTCTTCGACAGGTTATGCCAATGCCGTTGCTCTTCCCCCAGAGGCCGCGGCCTGACCGACCCCTAGGAAACCATCCCCATATCGTGACGCCCCCTCGCCTCATCCCACGACGTACAGGCCTCGGAACAAATTAGCGAACAGTCATTTCATCTGTCAACTCCTCCCCCCCCCCAATGTTCAAAGTTGGCGGTGGGTCTGATGGGGTGCACTTCGACCGCAGTCTCCCCCGCGCGTGCCAACAGTGAGGTTGGGGGGGAGGGGGAGTGTTCAGTAATTGTTTCCCTCTACCGTATGTACGCGGCCGGGTGGAAGCTTGAGGATGGCGTCACGGAAGGTGCTCGTCAGGGTGGGGGTCGGTTAGGCCACGCACGACGAGGCTCAGGAGGGGGAAGAAATTGGCACGGGCACAAATACACGTCGACTTCTTCTAAGATATGGGAAATTTGGCAAATGGAGGAGACGACGATCATCGAACAAAGATTCGGGAATATGGGGAATCCTGGAATTAGTGTTTATCTGCCTGTGTCTCCCTGGGCCTCTTTCGAGGCCCTGGCCCCGGCCCGCCCGCCCGAGCGGCCGCGGCCGCGGGTGCCGCAGTCGTCGCTGGCGCAGGCCCCCGGGCTGGAGGAGCAGGCGACGGATGGAACAAAAGCGGGGTCGACCGCGCCGGCATCGGCGCATGAGCTCCCCTCGCGCAGGGTCGCGCGTGCACTGGGGGCCCAGGCCAAGAGACGCCCTGCTTGCCTCCAGGGCGCCTCGGGATTCAATGGTTCCGAATTAGTTTTGCGACGGAAGGCGCGACCCTGCCACACGAGACATCAGTGGACGTCCTATAGGGTCTCGGGGTTGGGTCTCTTGCGAGAGGTTCTTGTGCTCGGGCCCGAACCGCAAGCGCCTTCGCTTACGGTCGGGCGCCGGCGGCCCGCGTAAGCCGCGGCGTGAGTCGGCGGCGCGCTAAAGGGGGGAAGTGAGGAGGGGCGGGCCTGCTCAGAAGGCTCGGAGGTCCCCAGGCCTCTGACGAGTTGTCTGAGCCTGCTCCATCCCGGAGCCGCAGATCTTATTCTGAAGTCGCGAGGCGTCATGAGAAGTCCCGCCGCCTTCTGAGAAGTCCTTCTCCTTCTCACTTCACCCCTCTGTGGTTGAAAGAAGCATGCAGCTCGCCACATTCCTTGGGGACATTGCTGGGCGGGGAGTTTGTATTTCGCCACTGCGGATTGCATCGTGTCGGGTGTGCTTGCTCATTGTCTTCTTCGCCATTGTCTTCCGCCCGTCCATGAAGGTGCAGGGTGTGACTGTGTTTGTGCATGCGTGCCCTGCCCTGCTGCTGGCCACTACGCTCGTCGGCAGAATCGAATCGAATCGAATAGAACTCACTTTCCTCGCCGCCAGCGATTGTGGCGAATCGAATCGAACAGAGTCGAATCGAATCGAACTAACTTCCCCCCTCCCTCGCCGCACAGTAATTCAGGTCGCTGCGCCATCTCGCGGCTCCGGTCTCCAGCTGGCGCACCCCTGGAACGCTTTCGGCGAGGCGCCGCCGCTGGAAGGCATCAAGAGGCTGGAAAACCACCGAGAACCGACGAGAACGTCCGAAAACCTCCAACGTCGCTATCCCAGACCCCCGACGTCATGATTTGGTTCATGACGTCGACCCCTGGAGGTCTCGACCCATTCCCGGAACCCGTCTCTCCTCCTGAATTATTGTTTCGCGGTCGCGGGGCTTGGCAAAGGCCGCCAGAGGCCGAAAGTAGGCTTGGGACGATTTTTGTTACGAATCGGGTTTGGGATGCCATCTCGCGGATAGGGACCCCGCCATCTCGCGGATAGGGACCCCCTGTCTTCTCGCCGCCCAGGTGGCGGACGGGCGGAAAGCGCGACGCTCCCACACCAACAAACAATGGACGTCCTGGGGTCTCAGGGTTGGGTTTCTTGTGAAAGGTTTCTTGTGGTCGGGCCCCGACTGTAGTAAGGATCGCTATGCCATCTCGCGTAAGGCCCAAGAAAGGGACACAACAACGAAGACATAAGACATAACAAAAACATGAAACAAAACGTGTTGTGTGTTGTCTTCGGGTTTGTTTGTTTATGTTTTTGGTCTTCTCGCCTTATGTTGCCCCCATCGTACTTAAGGACCATCCCAGAAATAAGTTCGAGCACCCGGCGAAGTGCCGAAACAGTGTCGGACGAGTGTCTCCCGGGGCCCGACACCTGAAAACCCTCGAGTTGAACGGTACCTTTGTGTTGCTCGAATATTTTTCTGGTGTTCGAGGCTAGCCTTGAGATCCGACGTTGCAAAAGAAATGCAACACCGCAAATAATCACGCCCAGAGCCCCGGACCGCATCTTCCAGCGCCATGTTTCGAGCCGGATCGATCTGTGAGGGTCCCGGGGCCCGAACTTAAGCTAAAACCCCCGGGCCCTTGTCAACAAATTGCAACGCCAGGATCTCAGGGAAAGTAGGTTGGAACATCCTCATTCTCGCCGCCCCGGTGGCGGACGGACTGGAGCTGCTGCTCGGGGAGGCGAGGCTGGCTCTTGAGTTCAGAAAGCAAAACTGGTTCTGGAATTCAAGAGCCAGTTGTTGTGGAAGGCACAGACCAGTCTCTCGAATTCAAGAACCAGTTTGAGCGATTCAAGAGCTAGTTTTTTCGACTAGACGTAAGAGTGACTTTTCGCCGGAGTGACCTCTGGTGCGGACACAGATGGGCCCCCAGATGGCCGAACACGAGGCAGGAGCAGCGGCCTGCGCGCCCAGGTTTGGCCCCCCCGCGGCCCCCCCAAGAGCCGCGCACCAAAGGTCACTCTTACCCAGGGTCACTCTTGGGTGCAGCCGAAAGAAGCGGCGCACCAAAGGTCACTCTTCAACCCAGGTGTCGCTCGCTTACGTGTAGCCCAGAGGAGGTCCCCAGCGGCCATGGGCAGGGCGACGAGGCTCGACTCGCGAGAGACGTCAAAGTGAGCTTCGGTCGGACATGTCCTCCTACAGGCGGCTTTGCTAAGAAAAATTCAACATGGCCCGAAAATGCCACACAAATAATGGAAGAAAGGAACACGTAGTCCAAAAGTCGACCCCAGTCTATTGCTTGATTATTTTTTGACTATTTCTGAACATTTTGGATTCGAGACCTTGGTCTCCTCGCCGCCCAGGTGGCGGACGGGCTGGAGCTGCTGCTCGGGGAGGCGCGGGCCGGGCTCGCCGAGGCCCGGCGGCGGGGCGCCGCCGAGCGGGAGGGCGCCCTGCGCCGGGCCCGCGAGGGCTGCGCGCGGGCGGAGCTGGAGCGCGGCCGCCGGGGGCCCGTTTCGATTCCTCGGACTCGATTCGATTCGATTTCGATGGATTCCGATTCCGATTCGATTCCACTTGGGATTCAGGTTTCGGTTCCGATTGCTCATTGGACGCGCACTAGCCTGCCGATTTCCGCCGATTCGACTTTTCCCGACTCGGCTGCCGATTTCCGCCGATCCGATTCATGTCGCGTTCCGATCCGACTTGTCGATTCGATGTTTGGCTCTCCTGCAGCCGTCGGGGGCACCCGAAGCTCGGGCGGGCGGCCCCCAGGAGGGGGGCGATGGCCACCCAGAGATCCCGCGCACTGAAAAAAACATCACAAGACGGAGGTCTTGCGCAAGGTTCGGCCCCTCCCTCTGGGGGCCCTCGCCGGGCCTCGGGGCCACCAGAGAAGGACTCGGGATGAAAAACCGGTCGCGAATCGAACAAAATCACGACATCGGATCTCTGGGTAGGGGGGGGTATATCATGGCGGGGGCCATGATATATCTCCCCAGGTCTCATGGCGCCTTTTTTCGTTTCATTGCGTCCCTGGCCCCCCTTGGGCCGCGCACTTGCCGCCGGCCATGATTTGCGCCCCCCCCCTCTTGGACTGGACGCCCCCCTCTTCGCCGCGCCCGACAAACGGGGTGGTGACCACACCGTGTGGTGGTGAGTCGGTGGGGATTCGGGGTCGCCGCACGGTTTTGGGATTTGGGTCGTTGTCCGAGGATGTCTCGGGCGTCCGGGGCGGGTTTTCGGGGTCACCGCACGGTTTTGGGACTTGGGTCGTTGTCCGAGGATGTCTCGGGCGACTGGGGCCTCCAGGGTCCCCAAAACCGCGTGGTGACGGACCCTGCGGCGAGGTCTCTGGGGATCTCGAGCTCACCACCGCGTCTGTCGCCACACGGTTTTTGGACCCCCGAAGACCGGCCACGCTCGGCCACGCACAGAGGGGGGCAGGGTTAAGTGGGGCGTGCCCCTCTACAGGAGGAATGTTCAAAAGTAGCCTGACAAATAGTCTGGTGACGTTTTGGTCCTGATTTTTTTGATATGTCCTCGAACATCCGCCAATCGGGGGACGTGACCGACCTAAGGATCTAGACCTCCTAGATGGGGTCGGAGTAGATTGGGTCGGAGGATCGCGCCACATCGCCGAGAGCACCGGCGATGCATCGGCGGTGCGGCTCGATGTGGGGCCCAATTTCTCCACGCCGAGGTCGCGGATGTATCGCCGACGTCGCCGATGCATCGCCGATGTATCGGCGATGCGGCGCGATCCCCCGACCCCATCTACTCCGACCCCATCTAGGAGGCCTCAAGGTAGGGGGAGGGGGAAGGGGGGAAGGCCTCTTAAAAGCACCCCTGCTTCTTAGAAGGCGTGGACCGTGGCTGTGGATGTTAGGCTCGCGCCTTCTAAGAAGCAACCTCCTTCCAAGAAGCCTTCCCCCTTCCCCTGCCCCCCTGCGCGCCGCCATCACGCGCGGAGGGGGGCAACGACGGGGGGCGAGGGGGGATAGGCACCCTGAGAGCCTGCATTCTGGGCCCGGGGACCTTCACAGATCGATCTGGCTCGGAAAATGATGCACAAAGGATGCGGTCTGGGGCCCAGGGCGTGATCCTTTGCTGCGATTTTGCAGCTTTGCGTGCAACGTCGGGTCTCAGGGCATAGGGGGAACGCATCGACCCCCAATCGCCGATCGATCGCCTACATGGGGCCTGATGGCCCCAACCTGCCCAGGAACGCGCGGCTTCACCATCGGGGGCCTATCGCCGATCCATCGGCGAGGTATCCCCGATTTCAGGTCGACGCATCCTCCCCCCCCCCAATGCCAGTCCCTCCCGATCGTTGCCCCTCAGCAGAAGGGGGGCAGGGGGAGGGGGATGGGCTTCTCAGAAGCACCCTCCTGCTAACCCCTGCGCGCCGCCAAGCAGGTGGGGAGGCCCAGACGCCCTCGAGTCAGGACAGAAATCTGGACAAGAGGCGTTTCGCCATTTTCAACCTCTAGGGGGCCCTTGACGGGCCTCGGGGCCAGCAACGAAAACGACTCAGTCCCAGGGAAGGGGTCGAGACATCTGGGGGTCGACATCACGAACAAAAATATGACATCAGAGCTGGAGTGCAGAGGGAGGGGCCTAGAGGTTGGCACCAACTTTCGTATTGGCGCCGTACCTCCACCGAGGGAAGATTCGGACGGGGCCAGGACGAGGATGAATCCGTTCCAGCGCGTTCCAGAACGCTCAGCGGCGCCCGAGACATCCTCCAGAGCCGCTGGTATTCAGAGATTGCCGATTTCTCTTCACCCAGGTGTATCCTCGCCCTGGCTCCGTTTTAAGGATGGTCCCGATCTCGGTGATGGCGGCACTTTTCTGACTTCATGGCTGGCTGGGAGATTTCCACCGGCACCGAAATCTAGGATGTAAGCCGGGCGTGACCCTTCTACAGGAGATCAAGAAATGTGAACAAACTGTATGGTGACGATTGTTCGTGCTATTTTGACTATTTAACATGTTTTGATCGTTGTCGATGTTCCATAGGAAATCCGCCTGTAGGAAGACATGCCCGACCTAAATCTAGGATAGATTCCCCTTGGAGGTGGCCCCGCCCCCACTGTTGGTGTTGGTGCCCATTGCCAGGCCCAGAGGGGGGAGTGACCTAGACTTCCGACCCATTGGAATTTTCGAGCGTGAGGTGTTTCGTCGTCGTCTTGTTGCATCGCTTCCCGGCAAGTCTCGAGATTGTGACCCTGGTCTCGAGTTCGATCATCGAGAGTGGAAGAAAGAACTCCTAACCCTCATAGCACAGTGAAGATGCGGCCTCATTTAGGTTCTCATCTTTGCATTTGGGAGTATGGTTCTGGGCGGTTTGGTCCTGTCCATGTGCAGAAAAGACCCCCTTATCCCTAATGTCTCTGGCCCTCCTAACTCAGGCCCCCTCCCAAAGGGCTAGGGGTCCTGTTGTCGTTAGTCATGCTGCTCCTCCATTGGTTCTCCTCGTCTCTGGCACATGCTCAAGAACTCCATGCTCGGAGCGCGCCCCCCTTCCTTGCCGCTCGCTCCCTCTCCCCCTGTTCGCCTCCTGTGCCCGATTCGGCCCCAGAAGTGCCCCTCGGCTGCCTCTGCCAACGTGGTGCGGACCCTCTCGACACTGAGACCAACAGAAAAGTCCGGTCGGTTTCTCAGCATCTGGGGGCCCTCGCAGGCGGCTTCAAGCAACGACCCAGGACGGGAACCGGTTCCTGGGACACGGTCGAGGAGCGAAGAAACACAAGACACCGGAGGTCTGGGGAGATACCGATGCCGTTGCCGGTTCCCTCGGTGCCACGGCTGGGCTCGCACCACACGTTGAGGCCGCAGAGGGAGCAGCAGCACACCGGCCCCACACCCCCCGCGCCTCGCTTCCTTCGAGACGCGGGGCCCCGACCTCTCGGCCACCTCCTGGGGACCGGCTCCTCTTCCTCCCTGGTGGTGCTTGGACGGCCCCGAGGCGACGCCCTCAAGGGGCCCGGGGAGACCGAGAACGCTGCAAACCTCCCGTCTCGATCTGTGTCCTTTGGTTGACCCCAAAGGGGATCCAGCAAAAAAAAAAGTGATGCAACAGATCTGGTGTGATAGGTGTTGTGGGGTGCAATCGATTTGGGGCTTGCAAGACATTCTGGTGCACAAAGGTATGGCTGGGGGCTTTCGCGTGCAATGCATTTAGTTGCAGTGCAGTGCGATAGTGACAAGTCTCTGGCGCAACACGTCTGCAGAACCATTGCTCCAAACCTACTGCACCGCCCCCTTTCAGCTGGGGCGTTCCAAAACTGGCCTTGCCTTCGAGGAGTAAATGAGTTGTCACCTCTTCCATCGCGGAAGGCAGCGGAAGGTCGGCGGAAGTGAAACGGAGCCGTCCCCGCCGGCGGACGGCGGCGGAAGTAAAAAACAACGCGTCCAGGAGATGAGAACGTTCTGTACAGGGACATCCGCCAGCTGGACCCTCTTTGGGGTCAGCCAGACGTTCGAGACACCGGAGGGTGTGTGTGTGTGTGTGTGTGTGTGTGTGTGTCAGTGTGTGTGTGTGTGTGTGTGTGTGTGTCTGTGTGAGTGTGTGTGTCTGTGTCTGTGTGAGTGTGTGTGTGTGTGTCTGTGTGTGAGTGTGTGTGTGGGCTTTCCTGGAGGCCCCGCCCCGCTCCCCGGTGCCCTGGCCGTGCTTCTGCGGACGGCCCTGAAGTCGAGGGGCGGGAAAGAGGGGGTGTATGACCAGGGGGGGGGGGGATATCATGGCGTGGTTCCTGAGATCCGACGTTCCCCCGGGGTCCGACAGCCCGCACCCATACCCATAGCCTGTCCTCCTCCGACCTCCATATGTGTATGGGTGTGTGTGTGTGTTGTTCGTTCGTCATGTCTTGGTGCTGTGCCCCCATCGGCGTCACCCCATTCTACTAATACTGTGTGCGCGTCGCCCCCCCCCAGGGGGCGACGCGCGCACCGAGAAATCTGATGGTGCAAGCGTCGTGGCGGGCGCTTCCTGGCCACACCGCTCGGGGAACGATATACTGCAGGATGGGTATACTGTATGTGTGGGTCGGACTCGCGCCTCCAAGGAGGACATGCAGTATCCCTGCGATGCGCCGTTCCCCCCAAAATGCAACATCGCAAAAATCCCTCCCGGAACCCCGGACCGCCCCTTTCTGCGTCATCCTTCGCGCCGGATCGATGATGTGCGGGTCCCGGGGCCCGAAATGCAGCGAACGCGCCCGTGGTAAAATCGGGGGCGGGAAAGAGGGGGATGATGACTACTTAGGGGGGGGGTGGATATCATGGCGTGGGCAATGATATCTCCCCAGATTTCATGGCGCCTCCTCTTATCTCATTGCGTCCCTGGCCCCCCCGCTGGGCCGCGCACGTGCCGCCGGTCATGCTTTGCACCCCCCCCCTCTTGGACGCCCCCCTCTTGGCCGCCCCCGACCTGGGGCCCGGCGAGGGTCCCCCAGAGGCCGCACACGGAGAAGGAAATGTGCCGCGCATTTTCTCCGGGTGGAGGGCAAAAGGGTGAGATCTGGAATGCCGCTTCGATTGATCTTCGAGGCTCGAATCTGCAAGAGGTGAATCACGAGACGGGTTGATTCACGAGGTGCGAAGGCCCGTGTGGATTTCACCCGGAGTTATCCGCCCTAAGAAAGTGCTCAGACTTCCCGTCCTGATTGTTGTCCCCTCGCGAGCATGTCTGTGACGAGCGAAGAACGCCCACCCATACCCGCAGTCAAGGGAGGAAAGACCCACCCAGAGCCGATGACTAGCGTCTACGAAGCAGACCTGGGCGTGCACCGCACAGCCCTGCCCTGGTCGATTCCCTCTTTCGGTGCGTTTACTAAACGGCTTCGCGCGTCGGGGCGATTATTTAATCGCTTCGCTCATGCCGCCGGCCCTGGAGCCCTCTTTAGGGCCTCTTGGGGGCCTCTTGGGGACCTCTTGGGAGTCTCTTGGGGCTCCTTGGCGGCGTTTTGGAGGCCCCCAGGGCCTCTTGGGGGGCTCTTGGGGGTAGTCGATTGGGCGATTATTACGGGGGTGGGTTTTCTGCCCTCCAAGTACACAGGGCGAACGGACGGGGGCTGTGGGTGCGTGTTGTCGGAGGGAGGCCCCCGCTCGAACGGGAGACCCCCCCGGGGGTCCGACAGCCCGCACCCATACCCATAGCCTGTCCTCCTCCGACCTCCCTGTGTGTATGGGTGTGTGTGTGTGTTGTTCGTTCGTCATGTCTTGGTGCTGTGCCCCCATCGGCGTCACCCCATTCTACACCTTAGGCGATGCTTAAGAAAACTTAAATTTTCGGCCAGAGTCTCGTTTATTCTTAATGTTTCAATGTAAATCATAAGATTTGAATAGAATTTTTGGGTTTTTATTCAACTTCTGAGACTATGAATTTCTTAACCCATGATTTCTTAAGCATTTCGCAAGGTGTACTAATACTGTGTGCGCGTCGCCCCCCCAGGGGCGACGCGCGTACCGAGAAATCTGATGGTGCAAGCGTCGTGGCGGGCGCTTCCTGGCCACACCGCTCGGGGAACGATATACTGCAGGATGGGTATACTGTATACTATATGTTTGGGTCGGACTCGCGCCTCCAAGGAGGACATGCAGTATCCGAAGTTCCCCCAAAAATGCAAAACCGCAAAAAATCCCGCCCGGAACCCCGGACCGCATCTTTCTGCGTCATTTTTCGTGCCGGATCGATCTGGGCGGGTCCCGGGGCCCGAAATGCAGCGAACGCGCCCGTGGTGAAAACAAATTGCCACGCCAGGATCTCTTGCATCGGTGCGCCCGCCCCGCCCCAGGAGTTCCGGCGGCAGCGCGCGCTGGTGGAGGGCGGCATCGGCCCCGCGGACGGCCCGGGCGACGGCCCAGCGGCCGTCGAGGAGCTCGCCGCGCAGCTGCGCGTGGAGGCCGAGGCTCGGGCCGAACGAGAGGAGGGGATAGGGAAAGGGGGGGTTACGAAAGCTGCTGCATGAAGCTGGTTTCGGCCCCGCCGCTGGGCCCATTCCTCGAATGGGCGCCTCCCGGCGCCGGGAGGCGCCGGGAAAATCAGCTACGTGAGCTGATTCTCAACCCCCCCCTTTGCTATCCCTCCCTTTCGCCCGACCCGAGAGGCGGCCGCTCGCGGCGCGGGCAGCCTGGTGGAGGCCGCGGCGCCAGGGCCGCCGCTCTTCGAGCAGGCGGCCTTGGGCAGCGAAGCGCTCGGCCACGCGAGTCACCTGCTGGCCCCTTCGAGTCCTCCTCGTCCTCCTTTTCTCCCTTTGGGGGGGCGGCGCGAGAGCGCGAAGTTATTCGCGCTTCGCGCTTCGCGGAGCGCGAAGCGCGAAGTTGGGAGCCCTAGAAGATCACGGCGGGAGGCTCTTCCCTGTTTTTGGCCTCCGGGGGCCCTCACCGGGCCTCGGGGCCGTGGAACAACGACTCAGGATGAGAAGCCGGTCCCGGGGAAGGGGTCGAGGCATCGGGGTCGACAACATGAAAAAATCATGACGTCGGGGATCTGGGCATGCTGCTCCCATCGTACTCCAGGACCACATGCCGCAAATAATTGCGAGCACCCAGAAAAGTGTCGAAGCAGTGTCGAAGGAGTGTCGCCTCCCGGGGCCCGACACGTGAAAAACCTTCCAGTTCCCCTACTTCTTGGTGCTCGAAATACTTCCTGGTGCTCTAGGCTAGAGTAGGCCGGAACATCATAACGCGCGAGCCCAGAAGTCCGACGTTCCAGCGAGAATTGGAGCGGCGGCATTGGGGCCGTGTTCGGCTCCGGGGGTCCTCGCCGGACCTCGGGACCATTGGCGCGGCGGGTTTTGGGCAGTGCTCGGCCTCCGGGAGACATCGCCAAACCTCGGGACCGTAAAAAAAAATAAAACAAAAGCAGTTCCGATTCAGGACGAAAAGCCAGCCCTGGGGAAGTGGTCCAGACCGGTGGGGCCCACGCATCGGAGAAGTTGGAGCGGCCGGATGTCTGGGAAGGAGTGGTCCTCTCGCCAGAGCGACCTTTGGTGCGGGCCCACAGGGGCCCGCATCATGGGATTGCGCGCGTGGGTTTGCCCCCCCCACGTGGCCCCCAGAAGCCGCGCACCAGAGGTCACCCTTGCCTATTCAACAAGACATGTAGAATGATAATGTCATCAGTGCTATCGCGTATGTTGGCGGTGCTCGCTACACAGACGTACTGCCATTGGCCGTCGCATCCTCCAGTCCCCCTGCAGCTTGAATGAACTGCCGATTGTGTTGGCACTTCTGCTTGAACTGAATTGGGTTCTTCGCGTTCATCTCGCTGGAACGCTGGCTCCATCCATCTCACTCAAGCGTTTCGCCTTCATCGTCAGCAGTTTCTCCTGAAGGATCCTGCTCTGCGCATCACGGGCTGGGCCAGTATGGTCAGGAATCGCCTGTGGGGTCCGAGCGGCAGCGATGCTGCAACGCTGGTGCCGACGACTCATTATTCATTGAGAAGTCGGCACGCAACCGATGAAGAACGGAAGCGGACTCATGCAGCAGTGATTCCACATGACGAACGGGACGAAATATGGAAGCCATTCGTATTTCCGCATCAGGAACGGACCACAATACGGAATTTGCCATGGCCCCGCATCTTGCCAAGCTTTGTATGAGCACGAGAAGACAATGCACTAGTGCATTCCGTTTCCGCAACTTTCGCAATACGGAGCCCGATGCGGCAATGCTTTTCTTGGGGGAGTTGCCGGACACCCCCGGCATTGCTCATGTCTTTGGTTCATTACCAGGGCTCGTCGCTGCGTCGCTTCAACACCTGAGATGATCCAAGCTGGCCCCGAGCGGGCCAATAACTCATAATTACAACAGGGCTCTTAGACGGACCCCGAAGGCTTCGATAGGGTTTCACGAGGGCCCCAAGAGGGCAACACAGTAAGTAGGCTGCAGGGTGCAATCTGATTCCTTGGAAGTTCCCAGGGGTCCAGGCTGGCTCCAAGAGGGCCACGACGCAAGCTGTAGGTTTCAACCCGCTTATGAAGAACCTTGCGCGGTGTTGGATTGGCGGCCCATACGCCGAAGCGACACCACGTTTCGTTGGGCACAAGCGGCCGAAGGTATCGTTCGTTACATGCCAATGCTATTGCTCATACCTTGTATCCTCCCAACCCCCTCCTCCCGACACGAGAACTGTTGTTTCTCCCACCCATTGGGTCACTGCTGCGCGCCGCCGAGTTATGGGAGCCTTGTATATTCTGGCAATTCCGTCTTTAGAGCGCACTAGCGCCGACTAGTGTTTGGAAAGCGATGAGATAATGCCGCTTCAGCGTCGATTTGTTGTCGATCAGCGTCGACTCGCAAGAGACCACAAGATGGTACTGGAGGCTCCCGTGAACTGCCGCAGAAGGTGGCCGAGCTGGTGCAGCGCTGCAGCCTGCAGCCCGGGGCCACCGACAGTGCGACGCAGCGCCGCGGGCTGGCGGCAGTGGTGGCCCGAGTCTCGGGGAAACCAGAGGTACCGAAGCCGCTGATTGCCCTGGCCGCCTGTGTGGGCCTCCTGGGAGGCTCTCGCCGCCACCGCTCGATTCGTTTCGGACTTCTGGTCAGAACGCACCCCGGGACCAGTCCAGGGAGTAGAGATCTCAATCTAGTTCTAGTTCGGTTCACCCAGAGCTTGCGATCCGTTGCGAAGCCTTCCCTTCCGGTCCAGTCTCAGGTCTCCGACGTGTGTCTTTTTAGTCCGGGCAGTTGTCCTCGATTGCGGCCTCCGGGGCCTGCTATCGGGCCCCGAAGCCATCAAACATTGATCCAGCGCGACAAATTGGCCCAGGGAAGTGTTCGAGACCGCGGGACCTCGCATCCAAAAACACAGATCGTCAGATGTCTGGGGGTCCGCGCTGGGGTATCGGACACCCCCGCTGGGTTCGCTTCGCTGCAAGCACCCTCGAAGTTCTGAGCCCAGCCGTTGGTTCAGAAGTCTGGCCTCCAGGGATAGGGTTCACACGTGGCTGAGTCTACCAGGCTGAACTCCAGAGCCCGCAGTATCCGATGCCGCGGGAGGGAGGCACCATAACCAGACCCCCGACGTCATGATTTTCCCATGACGTCGACCCCCCGGAGGTCTCAACCCATTTTCCAGAACCGTTTTTTCATCTTGAATCGTGTTTCACGGTGCCGAGGCCCGGTAAGGGCCGCCAGAGGCCGAGAATAGCGGAAAACTTCCCGTCGTGTTCTTTTATGACCCGCGGGGAGGTCCCCGCACGGCGGCAGCCCTACCCAAGCCCGGGGCCTGAGACCTGGCGAGACGTCCGGCGTGAAACAAATGTTTTAGACGTTTCGCGTAACCCCACCAGCCTCCTTGGTTCAATTCGTGCACCGGCGCTGCCCCCGGATCCTGGTCCTGGTTGCAGTTTGCATCGCCCGCCGGCCAGGTTTCGGGCCCTGCCCCGCTTCCTGGCGCCACCTCGCGCAGCCCGGCAGCTTAGGCAGCTTAGACAGCTTAGGTTCGGCCGTCGGCCCCCGTGCGCTAGGCAATTCGGCTCGCGCGTAGCCCGCCCGACCTCTGACGCTGCTGGCGCGCTCGCCTGCGGCCGCGAAAAAAAAAGAAGGAATCCCACCTGCCTGCCTGCTGCCTAGTCGCGGCCCGACTAGTGTTCGGACGGCTTTCGGCCCGCCTCGCGAGCCGGTTGGCCAACAAAAACACACCAGCCCATCCAGAAACGATGCCCAAAGGAATTGCCGCGATCAGGGACGTGGGCAGCACACAGAGGAAGGCCTCTTGGAGCGGCTTGGGTGCCTAGGAGAGCTTCTTGGGGCCATTTGGGGGGTCTTTTGGGAACATCTTGGAGGCCTCTTGGGCGCCTGTTGAGGTATCCTGGGCACCTTTTGGGGCCCTCTTGAAGCGTTTTTGGGAGCCTCGGGGGCGCTCTTGGGACCATTTTGGGGGACTTCGGCCAAACAAGAAGCGAACATTAGTTAGCGCTGCCCCTGGGCATCCCCCGCAAACGCCTCTTGGGGCGTTCGTGGGGCGCTCTTGGAACGCCCCTCGGCGCTCTTGGGGCCTTCTTGGGGCTCTCTGGAGCCTTTCTTGGAGCCCTCTTGGGCCATCTTGGAACCATCTTGGGCCATCTTGGAGCCACGTAGAAGTTCCTCAGGTGTTGGCCTCTTCGGGGCCTCCTGGGGGAGCTTTTTGGCCACTGGGAACCGTCTTGGAGCGGTCTTGGGGCATCTCGGAGCATCGTGGGAGCCATTCTGAGACATTTTGGGATATCTTGAGCCATCTTGGAGGTCATCTTGGGCTCCCCCAGGCGCTCTTGGAGTCATCTTAATCAGTGCCCCCCCAAGACGCCAACATGTGGCTAAAACTTTCGTAGACGTAATGATTTGGTATTCTCGCCGAGGCCTCTTGGAGCATCTTGGGTGCCTGTGGGGGGTCTCTTGGGGCCTCTTGGGGGTATCTTGGGAGCTTCTTGGGGGCATCCTGGGGACCTCTCGGGGCTTCCTGGCCACCTCTTGGGGCCCTCTTGGGGCACCCCTGGGAGCCTTGGGGGCCATCTTTGGGCCATCTTGGGTAAGATCGATCACAGGAGGGGGGGCACTAATCAAGGTCCCCCCCTCAGGAGGCCAACATGGGGCCAAAACCTTAGTAACACCAGTGAGTTTGGCTTCCTCGCCGAGGCCGTTTTGGACGCTCCGACACCTAGCGAACCCCCTTTGTCCAGGGCCACGGGGTGGGGGTAGGGGGAGGGGTCAAGACCCCCGCAAGCCGTCTCGCTCAGTCCCACCCGCCCTCCCAACACATACGTAGCACCCGAGTCTCTGGCCCGAGCCTCAGCATATTCAGCAGTCGTCTTTGGATGGGTAGCTACTGGGGGCCAATCCGCCGCCGCCACCTCCGCCGCCTCCGCCGCCGCCGCCGCCGCCGCTGCCGCCGCCGCCGCCCGCCGCCGCCGCCGCCACGCCGCCGCCGCGCCGCAGCCGCCGCCGCCTGCCGCCGCCGCCGCCGCCGCCGCCGCAGCCGCAGCCGGCTGCCGCCACCACCGCCGCAGCCGGCGCCGCCGGCGCCCGCCGCCGCCTCCCGCTGCCAAACCGTCGCCGCCGCCGCAGCCGCTGCCGCCACCGCCGCCGCCGCCGTGCCGCCGCCCCGCCGCCGCCGCCGCCGCAGCCGCCGCAGCCGCCGCCGCCGCCGCCGCCGCAGCCGCCGCAGCCGCCGCCAAGTGTACTCTGTATTGTTTTTTGAAAGGGATGGTGGGGGGGGGCCGCATCGGGTTGGCTGCGCATGTTCCGAATTTGGAGGCAAGGATTGTTTTGTATTCTTTTAATGAGGAATGGTGGGGGGGTGTCGTCATGGACCTTGGTTGGCCCCCGGTCGCCTGGGGGAGGGGGTGTTCACTATTACGGAACAGTGATAGACCCTTCCCCGAAGGGTAAGAAGGAGGGGTGGAAGAGGAAACTCCCTAAACCACTGACGCCCAGAGGGCTGGTGGGATTCGGGGCGAGGGTCTGTGGGCCCAGCCCCTCCTGGAGCTTGCCAGGGCCACCGCTGGGCCGGCGGGGAGGCTTAACTGGAGGCCACGGGAGCCCCCCCTCCCCAAATGGAGCCCCCCCCCTTGAAACAAATATGATCCCGGCGAAGCAACCTAACAGCGATATGTAGAAACATATTTGAAAGCATTCCCCTAAAGATTCAGATGGAAATCCAGTTGTAGAATTCTGCTGTTCTCGCAGTCGTAGTCGAATTCGCGATGACAGTCGCAGCGGCAACGGCAGTCGCAGTCACAGCCTCAGCCTCAGCCTGCCTCAGCCTCAGCCTCAGCCTGCCTCAGCCTCAGCCTGCCTCAGCCTCAGCCTCAGCCTGCTTCAGCCTCAGCCTCAGTCTGTCTTCAGCCTCGGCCTCAGCCTCAGCCTGCCTCAGCCTCAGCCTGCATCAGCCTCAGCCTCAGCCTCAGCCTGCCTCAGCATCAGCCTGCTTCAGCCTCAGCCTCAGCCTGCCTCAGCCTCAGCCTCAGTCTGCTTCAGCCTCAGCCTCAGTCAGCCTTCAGCTTCGGCCTCAGCCTCAGCCTGCCTCAGCCTCAGCCTGCCTCGGCCGCAGAATCAGCCTGCCCCAGCATTCAAAATGTGGCCCAGGAGTGAATTGCTGGGAACTAGAAGAACACGAAGTGGCCTACAGTTGATGCCCAGGAATGGAGTTCTGGGAGCTTGAAGAGCACGAAGTGGCTTACAGTTGGCTCCGGCCACTCAAAATGTAGCCCGGGAATGGAGTTCTGGGAAATCGAAGAGCACGAAGTGGCCTACTTCACGGATGCTTGCGATGCGGCTGATGTAAATCGTTGCAACTCATGTTATATGTTGTTCATCTTGAGATATAAGTGGTGCAAAGCAACTTATAACTGCCATACTACGTTGTTTATATGATATATCTTTCCCGAACGATACATTGCAATGTATCGCGATGCAGGCGTTATAAAGGCTCTTGCGCCCAATTAACTTCGCACCACCCAAACAGTTACAACATGATATAACTACGTTATATCGTTTGCGCAGGTTTGCATCGTACGCAGCGCAACGATACGACGGGTTACGAAACGTTAAGAAAAGATACGAAACGATACGAAACGGTTCGGAAGCTCGCTCCGAAAGCATACGTCGACGAAAAAGTTCGGAGGTTCGCCCCGAGTATCGATGGATAAACATGAGACGGTGCGGAGCTTGGGCGGCGAGCCAAAACTGTAACTGTTTGGGTGGTTCTGATTTCGTTTTTAAATGAGGTGCGAGGAGGGTGGTAAGATGTTCCAAACTTGGAACTGAAAGGGGGTCTGAATTGCCGCCAGGCAAGTCCGCTAGTGTTCCAAGTGGGGTCGTCAACGTTGTTGCTGCCGCTCGCCGCCCCGATGCCCCCCCCCCGTCGTTGTCCTCGGCCCAAGGCTGTCCTTTGACCCCTCCCGTCTCCACCCTCCACCCCCATCCCTCCTCATCGTCCGTTGACCCATATACCTGCTCCGCCTTATCCTCCTCGCTCTCCTCCTCCCATTCTTCCTTCTCCTCTTCCTCTTTCCCCCTCATCCTCCTCCATTTTCCCCCCTCCTCCTCCACGTCGTCCTGCTCTCCTCATCCTGTCCCCCCTCTTCCCCATCCCCGTCTTCGTCCTCTTCCTCCGCAGCAATTTCTTCCTTTGTCCTCGCGTTCCGTTCCCTCTTCCTCTTTCGCCTCCTCCTCCTCCTCCGCAGCCCCCCCCCCTCCCCCCCGCCCACCATCGCCCCGCTGCTCAGCTGGAACTCCAGATCGGCAGGCACGGGGCCCCGTCGGGCCGTCCCAGGCACGGACATGAGGGGAGGAAAAGGAATTCTAGACGCTTCGCGGCGTATCCCCACGCGTTACCACGCCCTCTTGAATTTTTCATTGCGGGCCGCAGATCAAAAAAATCCCCACGAGCCCATCCAGAAACGATGTCCAGGCGAGTTGAGGTGATCGGGGAAGTGCGGCAACAAA